AAGGTGCTCAGATGAATGTCTTCATGAGGAACTGAATATTATTAAATGGTTATCCGGAGAAGTTTATCGATAAGAATATGAATCTAAAATCAAAGCAGTCCAAGTTACCAGCAGTTCTTAAAAGGCCTTATTCTTACAAATGCAGTCCCTCAGGGACAACATCAGCGAGATACTAGTACAACGCCTTGGAAATGTGCGAAAAAGAGAATTCCTAGCTGCTGAACTACGCTGTGTCTTTAAAAATCACCCCTATTTTGAGTTTGGAAGCAAAAGATAAACTGCATAATTTCGTCTCTTCCATGTGTATCCACCAATTTAACTGCTCCTGTTGAACCATTTAGCTACTTAGGTTGTACAGTTAATCGTGTTTTTTGTTGGATTTCCGAACATCACTCTGTGTGGTTAAGTAAAGGACAAACAAAATCTATTCTCAGTGCTATTCTATCTCATCTTGTGGACGCAGAAAACAAGATTGATATCAACGACACGGCTTTCAGATCCATTTACAGCATACCTACGAATTTCAGTTTTGCCTTAAGAGTCGAACTGATAAATATTGATGAGGCTGTGAAGATCCATATTAACGAGCCTAATTTATGCATCCGAAAGTAGCTGATTGGTTCAGACATTGTCTCTACCTTGGCCATTTAGGTTTGAATGATCCTGAATTTTTGTAGAATTTTCCTAATTTTAGTTGATATTCTATTCGCTACTATATCTTTATTATTATTATTATCATCATAATTTAAGCATCTTTAATGAACTGTAGTTACATTGGTCACACTTTATAAATCGATATTATTTAAAAAACACTAATATTGTTATCGACTTATAATAATAATAATAACAGTGGATTGATTCGCAAATTGGAAAGATAACTTGCTATATAGTCGATATTATTCACTTAAGTGTATTTTCCTAAAGAATACTTACTATATATATACATATGAATTCCAACTTTACAGTTATTTTAATGAATTTATAGGCGAAGCGGTAAAATTGTGTTTTTCAGTTGCACGTATATACATTATATAAATATCTATAAATAATAAGACAAATGTTTTTGATTTATGAAAATCCCCTAATCAATCGGTCAGGTATTCAGTGAATTTTCTTTGTGTGTTTTTTTTTCTTGTCTTGTGATTGATATAATATAATATTATGAAGACTGATAGTACAGTGTGAGTGTATGCGCCTGCCTGCCTGCCAACAAGCTTATTGTTTTATGGGTGGTGGTGGTGGTGGGGTTGGGGTGTCTTCCAGTCATACTGCGATGTGTAAACCCCCACTTGAAATACTGCTTGCTCTACACAGATGACTGCATCATCTGACTGACGTATATGTATACACACAATTTGCTTTTTCGTTTTTGAGTACAATTAAGCAGTGTAAAAAATGAAATCAACTGTAAAACAAAATTGATTTTTGAACTATATCACCAGTAAGCATAGTTGGCAGATATATCATTGCTATGAGCATATATAGTTTTTTAAACGATTCGAAATATAGCTATCGGTTTTAAAGACTGTAATCAATCGCATATCTTCTTTTTTAATTGTAAATAAAGCAATATATATGTATGTATATATTGTAAAAAAGGAATGATAGCAACAGTTGAAAAGCATTGTTTTAAACAAAATTATTCGCCCATCTGAAAATACCGTTCTGTTTTCCTCGTATTTGTTTGTTTGTTTGTCTCTATATATGCACATGAAATTCAACACAAGCTTTTATCTGTGTGTGTGTGAATATTATGTCTATTTGTGTGTCTTTTTCAGTAGGCATAGAGACATGTGAGAACAGAAGATATTTTGTAATATATTTATGCATATATATATATATATATTTCATGCATAATGCCAATAATTTATTGAAGACAGGCTACTTACTTACTTACTTACTCTGTGTGTGTGTTGTATCTAATTGAGCTACTTACTGATTTATACACCAATGCACTTTAGATACTACTTAAATGCAAGCAATAAGAGAAGAAATAAGGCGCATTTACTGTTTCGCATATGCCAGTTTACGCCATCTCTGGTATATCCGTGGTATCCGGCTGGCTATCGACCAAAGTGTGGGTGTACTGCTCAGCGGCAGTCCGCTCCGTCCTCCTTTACGGCTGTGAGCGAGACCTGGCCACTGAGAGCGGAAGACATGAAAAGACTGTCTGTCTTTGATCAAAGGTGCCTGCGCTTTATTTCCCGTGTGAAGTGGCATAATAAGGTGAGCAATATTGAGGTTAGGCGTCGAGTGCTAGGTAAACAGGGGAAATCAATCGATGAAGCTGTGGAGCTACATTGACTGAGAAAGTAAGAAAATGTGTTACGCATGCATGCCTAGTAATCGCCTTCCTCGATAAGAGGCAGTGTTAGCTGGCATACGGTCTGGCTAGAAATGAGCTAGCGGTGGTCAAACCAAAACATGGCTTCACTAGTCAATGAAATCCACAACAGTTAGTTTAAGCCAACCACGTAGGAAGGTGTAGACTTCCTGGTTGGGGTCCTCGGGAGGGTAAAATCCAATGATGGCTGGCTCAAAATCGTTCTCAATGGCTGGTGCAGATGCATCCACTCCTTGTGACTTACGATTCCAATGAAACTATATCCTTCTTCGTTATTACTATTCCTCTGTCTCACATCTCTGTTTACTGTCTCTATTTTGCATTTCTTCTACTTTCTTCTCTTGATTTGTGTGCTACGTGGAGGTAGTGTGGCGACTTGAACTGCCGCACATTTGTGCAAAGTTCTGTGTTGAAAACAGACAGACTAGTGTTTGCTAGCCAGCCAGATCAAATTGGCTTTTTCACCTATATTAGGGTTGAGCCCAACACCAGTGCTTGGTTGTTTGAGTTGAATCAAGTAAAACGCTGACCAATCCTACTCCACACAATCGAAACTGCCGTCTCGTCTGTCTCGCTAGCAAGTAGTGATTTTGTAAACGACTACTTATTTCGTTCATTCAGTAGTATGTACGTGCTATAGATTTATGCTTGCCTTCTTGATGACTAGCATTTATGGTATCTAGCAAAAATCAGGCATTGTGATCAGAATCATTTCGGCTGCCAAAAGAACCTATGTGGTGAAGTGGACTGAAGTTGCAAATTGTAAAAATTTGGTGAATTTTTCGTTCTATTTTTTCTAGCTAACATATTGAGAGTTTTGTATTGAGGGTGAAACAGTAGAGCAACTCACCCCACTGCATGTAGGACACAATGGTAGACAACAGAGAGAGAGAGAGAAAGAAAAAGAGGTTCAGAAGAACTGACTGATGCCTGGTTTTGATTTGAGTATCCCTATCTCTTTTCTAGTGCGTCGGTGGTATAGCGGTTAGAACGCTCGCCGACCGTGCACATGGCCCGGGTTCGATCCCCGGCCACCGACGCACTCCTTTACCTCGCTTAGCCAGAAATATTTCTGGTAAAGAGGAAAGGTTGGGCGTGAGGCTGGTAACCCACTCTGTGGGATAAACACTGCTAGAGAAACCTCAAGCCACTAGCTTGAAGCTTTATGTTCCACTGGGGGAACGTGAAGGAAAAAAAATCTCTTTTTTAACTCAATCCTGTGTCAGCTAACACTAATTATTGATGAAGATGGTAATTTAGAATTGTATACCACAACCTTATCGATTGATTTATCCTAATTGCTTCCTTATACTCTGTGCCTTACCTCTTTATGGTTCACTATATTATACCATTTAATAAGGGAGATACGAATGCACATTCTTGCGGAGAAAAAACAGCTAGCATTTTTAAATCTTTCACTTTTACTGGTCATGTCTTACAGCCTTAAAGTAGAACAGTGTGATCTACTGTACAACAGAAACCTCCTTTGGTCAAAATCAGAGTTTTGCGTTAATTTGGATATGATGTAGTGAAACTTTGACTCTGGCTTCTTAAATAGCTATTCATTTCAACAATCTTTATGTGGTAAAAGAAGCGATTGTGCACAATAAGAAATTCTAAAATCATCTGCAGAATCGATGGAATGTTCAGTTACCAATGATAGGGCCTGTAGGGTAAACCATGTGAAGAACAAGTGAATACTCATCGAATGCATTAGTGGGGTAGGTAGCATTATAAAACAAGGGGAGAAGACTAGAATTCACAGATCACTGAGCTCGGCCTCTTGACCTGAAGCCTCTGGATTAAGGATCGCTTGCAAGGTCGCGTTGTTCATTACTGACGAATTTTAAGGTAATCCCGAAGAGTTGTTTAGTGCTCTCTGGTTTTCACTGATCTCTATAACTGCGTGTTGGTTTGTGACGAAAGTCCAATTGTCAAAGTTGAGCCATAATCCCTTCAAATCCCATAACCTGAATATCTTCGCTTACTTCACTGAATTAAGATCGTTTCAAGTACAAAAAACATTGATGGGGATATCATTATTCTTCATTACTCTGGAATAAATGTAGACGTCTGCAGAACTAATCAGAAGGAAGAAGATCTGGATTTTACGCATTAATGTCACACCAGCGCTTCCGGAAGGTTTGGAGATTTGGCTCTTGGCGAGTCACCTAAAGCGGTTCTCTACAGTCTGGAAAAACTTTATCAATACCCGTCTTTGCTGGATACTGATTATCAGTTGGGTGGCTTGAAAGCATGAGGAACATGGAAGTTCTCAAGTCAATCCGTCAAGAACATATTGCCCAACAAATATATATATATAGAATGAAATGGAGGTGGACTTGAGATACCTAGAGGAGACACTCGCGTAGATTGGTCTTCTGAGGTTTTATGTTATGGAGATCATCTGAGAGCTTGCTTGAAGACATGGATCCAGGTGGAATTGTGTGTTTAAACAACTGTGAGTTGAATCAAAACCTGCTTCTGAAGATAAATGTCCCACTGTGAATGCAAGGAATGAATTATATCAGACCGTCATACTAAAAATGTCGGATAATATTGCTTTAGTGAAGAAGAACTGTTTTGTCCTATTTTACTTTAAAAATTTATTGATTAATTCCCTTTGTGTTTTTTGATTTCTTTCTTTTTTTTATAGAATACAGTTGAATGTACCAACTCCTGTGAGAACGATTCATCAAATAAGTTCTGTTTACCGAATTATGACAAGTGTGATAAAACTCATAATGATAATAATAACAAAACCGGAGATAATGCCACTATGGAAATTCAACTAATAACAATAATTACACAGGAGAAACACATAAACAAGCCAATTATCCATTTAAGGGAAATTCATTTCGCTCAGTTAAAAATAGTCATAAAAATCGAATTAGAATTACTGGTAGTAGTAAACAGCAAGAACAACACAGACAGCTAATCTGTTGAATGATGGTAATGAAAGTAATTTAAAGCCTGAAATTAAATTAATTGATTCAAGACCACGAACGCGATTGTATATTCAATCGGGAACAAAAACGCATGTAAGTTGATCAGTTTTTGTATCACTTATTCAGATGTTTTGATCTCTGCATAAATCAAATGATAAGGGAAAACTGGGACCCTAATTAGCTCTTAGGATAGATGACTGGAACCTCGTTGGAAAGAACACTTTGAGGAGCAGTGTTAAACTGGCCCACAGCCACGCTCAACTTACCCAGCATCCAAAACCTCCCTGAATGGCATAAAGCACACAGTTGTCAGTAGTCTGAAGGGAGGCCAACCCGCGGGACCTGATGGGATAACTGCAGAGGTGTTCAAGGTTGGTGGAGACAGTTTACTGTCTGTGTTAACTAAGGTATTACGCACCATTTGGTAATTAGAGGTAATCTTGTTGGGCTGGTGTAAGTTATTCCATATTAGTTTGTTTATTAGACTTATCATGCACAGTGATGAAACAGTATTATTTACTGGATGACACAGTTTCGAACAAACTTTATTGTGGTTCATAATCATTCCATCAATTATAATCACACGACTTCGAAACTTGAGTTTTAAATTTTTCTTTGTTCTTTCCTATTTGTCGTCATTGGGGTAGAAGAATTTTCCTAGATGGTCGTCTGGGACAGGTGTTGAATCATTCCTATTACACGTGTTTGCAGTTGATTCGGTAAACAATCAATCTTCTTCACTCGTCACCATGTTACGTTAGATTTTAAAACTGTCATCTGTAAGTCATATTTTTCCCGATATACAAGAAGGAAGATAAGTCTTCCTGTAATAGTCAGAGAGGGATTAGCTTGACCAAAAGAGTATCTAAAGTTCTAGGCTCAATAATAATGCGTAAACTCAGAGGTTTTCTGGAGGAAAAACACGAGAAAATCAGGTCGGCTTTAGACCAGGAAGAGGGCATATTGATCATTTCTTCACTCTTTGGCAGATTCGGGAACGTACTTACTGTCGTCCAGCAATCGTTATATTTCTTGACCTGAAATCGGCATTTGACTCTTTCAATCATAAAGTATTATGGCGATGTTTGGCTGTGAAAGGAATGCCAAGAAAATACATTGCACTGATCAAGGCACTCTACTCGAACTCATGCAGCCAACCATGTAAGAGCTTATGGAGAGTTGTCATCTGAAGTGGTGACAACTAGTGGTGTCCATCAGGGATGCCCACTGTCTCTGTTTCATCACAGATATACTAATGGACTTGGCTGTAACTGACTTCAGGGACGCAGGGATTGATTCGCTACCATGCGTCGGTGGCACAGCGGTTAGGACTGTCGCAAACCATGCAAATGGTCCGTGGTTCTATTCCCTGCCGACGCACATCTGATACCTATGGTTGGCCTGGAATATTTGGGCTACCGATATCACAAGCTGAAAATTCCATACCTGTACAAAAAAATACGGTGTGGAATCGAGCTGTAATAAAAAAAAAATAAAAATAAATAAAACATCAGTAGTACTTCCATACAAAGAATGAATCTCTTAAACCTTATGTAGAATTCTTAACGTTGCTGGAATAAAAGTGGCATTCAGTTATCCAAAAACTCAATTAGTAATAAGCCTTGGTGGTTAAAGGATCAATCATGTGAAGACAATTAATCAAAACAATTTAGTTTATCTAATACCCTGCCTGCAATGATTGTTAGGTGGAATACCTAGGTCAAAGTAGTAGAACAGGGTCAGCCAGACTAGCGAGGCACAAAAACCCAGCAGCAAAATCTAGATTAGTTGACCTGAATAAGATAAGAAATCTAGAGAGTAGTTCAGCTATAGCACTACATGCAAATACACACAACTATACAATAGGTTGGGATAAGATGAGTTTTAAAATCTAATGTAACAACGGGCTGGAGGCAGAGATTAATAACAGAAGCTTTGTTTATCGAATCAACTGAAGAGAATACGTGTAATAGGAATGATTCAACTACCTGTCCACCCAGATATCTGGAAAATGCAACTACCCAACGACGACAAATAGAAGAGGACAAAGAACAACAAACTGTATTTACAACGACATACAGCAAACAATACTGTTTCACTCTGTGCGCTATATCTAATAAACAAAGAAGAATATGGAATTATGTGCTACCTTAGTGCCCACGTTTTACACACATATATTAATCAGAATCTAGGCTTTCAATATTTTACCTGTAAGAGGACAGGTATTCACATGATTCCATGCTCTCAGTTTGTGCCCTCTTTTCTCAAGTAAATGACTCTTTGTTTTTGAGATTTTTTTTATTAGTTAGTATTAAAGCAATCGTATATTTTATATAAAGGAAAAGCTTAGATTATTACTCTTAATTTAAGAAGCATTTTCTAAGACTGCTTTTATTGCCTGTAAGAAAAAAAGATTGTTTACGTTTCGTCTATAAATGATATATATATATTTTTCCTTCACGTTCCCAGTGGAACATAGGACTCCAAGCTAGTGACTTGAAGTTTCTGTAGCAGTGTTTAATTTTTACAGGATGGGGTTGCTAGCCTCATGCCCAACCTTTCCTCTTTACCAGCATTATTTCTGGCTCAGTGAGGTAAAGGAGTGCGGCGGCCGGGGATCGAACCCCGGACCATATGCATGGTCGGCAAACGTCCTAACCGCTATACCACCGACGCACTATAAATGATATATATATATATATATATTTGTGTGTGGCATTGTTAAATATTTGGTTAATTCTTAATCATGCATATTTTCGTACGTGCTTTTCATCCTTACTAGATGTAATCTCTTAAATTTGATTCGTTGGATAGTTTTAAATAGAGATTTGCGTGTCTAACATTCTTCCCACTGAGTAGTATAAACAATCAACAAATTTTTTTGTTTGATCAAAACATGATTAAATTCGATCAAGTGTTTTTGAACTATTCACAGCCTACTGTGATGTATTTGTTTTTAAGACCGGTATTAACTTAAAAGAACTCATGAGTCGCTGTAGGGTCATATTAGTCATAAAACAGAAATGACTGTAGATAGTTGGTTTTCTATTGCCCTGGTAGAGGTATAGAAGCCATTTGCATTCTAAATTGGTTGGCAGACATACCGATTTCACTGAATTTGGTGGCTACTGGCTTCGCTTATAGAAGCATATGTCTGTATGTTTTTGACATAGAACTTTGCACATATGTGCGGCAGTTCAAGTCGCCACACTCCTTCCATTTAGAACACAAATCAAGAGAAGAAAGTAGAAGAAATGCATAATAGAGACAGTAAACAGAGATGTGAGACAAAGGAATAGTAATAACGAAGAAAGATATAGTATCATTGGGAATCGTAAGTCACAAGGAGTGGATGCATCTGCACCAGTCATTGACAACGATTTTGAGCCATGTCACCAATTCTTTCCAACCATTGGATTTTACCGTCCCGAGGACCCCAGTCAGTGAGAAAGTCTACACTTTCCTACGTGGCTTGGACTAACTGTTGTAGATTTCATTGACTGGTTCGATGTTTTGGTTTGACCACCACTGGGTCTTTTCCAGCCAGACCGTATGTCAGCTAACATTGCCTGTTGTCGAAGGAGGCGATGACTGGGCATAAGTAACACATGTCCTAACCATCTGAGTCGATGTAACTTCACAACCTCGTCAATTGATTCCCCTGCTTACCTAGACGTCGACGCCTAACCTCAATATTGATCACCTTGTTATACCACTTCACAAGGGAAATAGAACTCAGGCACCTATGATCAAAGACAGCTAATTGGGCATTTTATGTCTTCAACTCTCAATGGGCAGGTTTCGCTCACAGCCATGAAGGACGACGGAGAGGACTGATGAGCAGTACACCCGCCCTTTGTTCGATAGCCAGCCGTTTGTCTCTTCCACGCCAGAGATGGCGTCAACAACTGGCATATGCGAAACTAGCCCTCCGTATTCGTGCTGAGATTTCGTTAGCGATCAGTAGATTGAGGCTGATGGTACTTCCCAAATAAATCAAGTGTTCAACGTGCTCTACCACTTCACTTCCTATTTCTAATCTAGGAGTCGGTGTAGTCCAGTCCTGTAACATCATCTTGCTTTTGGAGGGAGTGAATCACAATCCAAACATCCGTAGATTGCGATTCGCTCCCGCCAAATGCAAGATGCTGTTACAGGACTGGACTACACCGACTCCTAGATTAGATTTAGGAAGTGAAGTGGTAGAGCACGTTGAACGCTTGATTTATTTGGGAAGTACCATCAGCCTCAACCTACTGATCGCTGACGAAATCTCAGTACGGATACAGAGGGCTAGTTTCGCATACGACAGTTTACGCCGTCTCTGGCGTAGACGTGATAGAGGCATATTACGATTATAGCCTCTATATGCGTGTTACTCTTGTCCATAATTAAGCATTTGGCTGGTTTGGTATGCAAGATGTGTTATATTGGGCTTGTCTGTGCAGTGAATAATCGATTGACGCGATCGCTGATCGGTGTAATTTCGCTTACCCATGCATTATAGTGTTGTGTATACTAACGGTGCGAATGGTCCACTGAGGGAGACGGTTCTCGAGTGATTGCAAAACAGGATGATACTTCATGCCAGTCTTGTCTCGCAAAAAGCAAGGATAGATGTGTTCCTTTTACTTGAAAACCAATACCTAATCAATAGGCGTACAATTATGTGCAAAAAACTGGTTGATTCTGTCACTAGTAATATCATTTGCGTCGGGGGCGTAGCGGTAGAATGCTCGCCGACCACGCCTCACGTGGTTCAGGGTTCGATACCTGGAAGACGCATTACTTGACCTCACTAAGCGAGTAATAAGACTGGTAAAGAGGAAATATTGGGCATGAGGCTAGCAACGCCATATCGTAAAAATAAACACCACTGCTACTAAAACTTTAAGTCTGTCGCCTGAAGCCCTATTTTTTGCTGGGAACACCAAACAACCTCTTCTCCGATTACCTATATTATATTTGAGAACTTTAAGAAAGTTTCAATCAATTGTGTAACTCTGTGTTAGTGTGTGCATAGAAATTTCTAAGATTGCCTCCAAGTTACCAATCTTCCTGGAATCTACCATTCTGCAATCGGCTAAATGCCT